ATTTCGTTTTAGAGTTTCGAAACAGGTATATAAGAAATTCTTTATAATTTTATGAAATAGGGGATCATCATTGAGCCTTGAATACATATATGCTTGCAATATGAATAGATGTAAAACAACTCAGATCACCCGAACCCTGTTTCCTGTTTTCGAGGACGTCTCATCTCGCTGATCCAAATCAACGATACCATAGACTTAAACAGGTTAGCATGCTTTTTCAAACCAAACCGTTGTCATTTCACTGTTCTCTCAGACACTTTGTTTAATTTATTGTACAGTTAATTTACTGAATATTCCTGTTTTACTTCACAATATTTCTGAACCTCGCTACTTTGTGTATGATATTAAGTGCGTTACTGGTGCATATTAAAAATGTGAAAGACAATCGCCTTGACGATAATTTTCAACAATAAATACTATTGTATGACTCAAATATGTGTTGTGTGTTACTGTAGCAGGATTCTGAGAGGACCAGTGGCACGTTATCAAGCTGACATCCCGTAAGGGTAAATATTCCGGAATTTATGTTATGTGTCTCATTATTCAAAATTTCTAAACATAAACGAAAACACCGTCATAAGTTAGTGTAACACCAAAATAGAACAGAAACCAACATCGGGAGCTTGTGTGACACCAAAATAGAACAGAAACCAACATCGGGAGCTAGTGTGACACCAAAATAGAACAGAAACCAACATCGGGAGCTAATGTGACACCAAAATATAACAGAAACCAACATCGGGAGCTAGTGTGACACCAAAATAGAACAAAAACCAACATCGGGAGCTTGTGTGACACTAGGGTGACACCAATAAAGAACAGAAACCAACATCGGGAGCTAGTGTGACACCAAAATACAACAAAACCAACATCGGGAGCTATCCTGACACCAAAATAGGACAGAAACCAACATCAGAAGCTAGTGTGACACCAAAATATAACAGAAACCAAGAGCTATCGTGACACCAAAATAGGACAGAAACCAACATCAGAAGCTAGTGTGACACCCAAATATAACAGAAACCAACATCGGGAGCTAATGTGACACCAAAATAGAACAGAAACCAACATCGGGCGTTAATGTGACACCAAAAAACAGAAAATAACAATTTTCAGTCTCCCAGGCAATTGAGATAGTCAGAACAGATGGAAGGGAATGCTACACCAGGTTAAGTAATAAAGAAAACTGCTAGTACCGACGCAATTTATATTGATGAGATAAGAAATGCTAACCGATACATTGACGTCACTTTGCTTGGACGTGGGATGATGTAACATCGACACATACTAGTTATAGGTAGTCTAGATTTCCCGCCGTGTGTATGTACCAAACATAGCTACAACTATAAATAGTTAATTAGTTCCTAATATATAAATATAACTTATGACGTTCTTTACGTAGATGTCTGTGTGAAATCAGGGCATATATACGGGTAATCTCACGGTGTCTTTAATTAATCACAGTTTCCGTGTTTCACTTGCGAGGGCGTATCTCCATAATTGATTATCATCACTAGATAAACCATAGATAATTCCACTCCACACGATCACATATGGTATTTTAGTATCAAGAGATATCTCGGAATATCAGTTCTAGTGTTTCGATAGTTCGATAATTAATTTGTGTTTTTTTCCTCGGGTCCATCTACAAATTATTATTTAACTTCTTTCCATTTTCAATTACTTTCAAGACGTTATCTGTCAATAAGTCGACTACCTTTTTGACTGTATACGCGCATCCATAAAGCGAATTTTCGTTTCGTTATAATTCAAGTCAATACGTCAATTTCATTTAGATTTAGTTAATATTTGCCCTCCAACTAGTAAACAGTCACCCAAATGTCCTTTTCATCTCACGTCATCTTGGGTGGACATCGAAGATAAAGAATATTTATCGCGTTATTTGTTTTCTTTTGACAAGTCGGCGAGAAACGTGTGGAATGGTTGCTATTCTATTGATTAATCAATCAGTTATCGGCAGAACGTCAGTCCAGGAATCAAGGAGAAAAACAGAAGTTTGTGATCTATATCAACTAACTGACTGTTCTGTTTCAATCAAATCAGGTAATATCGATCTGCAGAATCACAACGTCAACCAATTGAAAAGTGATATATTACGCCAACCAATTGAAAAGTGATATATAACGTCAACTTACTACAGAAGCACCTTTCATCAAACTATAACTACCTGTATATAAACCCATATGTAAGTTGACTTTCTTTATCGTTAAAATTGCGTCATAAAGCAATGGTAATTGTTATTTCAACACAATGACTTCTTATTTAGGCCCCAGTGTAATGTTTCCTTTGAGTACACATCAGCCAGAAGTAAGTCTCTACTGGAACCGTCAGAAATGTGTCGGAAACTAGGTTTAAACATAGCTTTAGTAAGGTAGAATAAAAAGTGACATTCGGGCTGTGAAAACAGACCATCAGAAGGCCGGACAATGAAGGAAGTCCGATTGTACATAAAATGGAAAACAACTACGGGAGCTATAGTGGGACAAGGGAACAGCATTGGAAAACACATAATAGGGTGCTCATGACACAACAATCAGAATCATATGTGTCTTTCCCGAGGTATTGAGATACCCAAACATGTATTAAAGATAACACAATGGCCAGACAGGTACCATAGCGACAACGTGAATATCGGCCAGATCATCACTTCCATCATATAAATATAAACATGTGTAGTGATGTAATGTTACCGGACATGGAGATCATTGTAGTGTTGATCTCCGTCGCCGAGGAGGGCAGATGTACATTCGACGTGGGATGAAATTAGCTTCCGAGACCGGCACAAACGCATGCTACTTATATATATATATAGAATGGATTCTCATCAATGTGTTAATTCTAAGGCAATGCTATAAATGTAAATAATTCAGCAGTTTCTGGTATACAAAGCCACCAGGGAAAATAAACGGGAAACAGCTTCCTTGTTTAACCTTCGAGAGCGTACCCCCTTCACATGAGTTTATATCATCTGTAGATAAAACATTAGGTGTACATGTACACTGCAGAAAACAACGACTTGATCAAACACTCGTGAGAAATTGACTTCGCACGATTACTATGACTTATTGATGTTTTGTTGAAGTATCGAGGGATATCCTGTCAAATGTATTGCTCGATATGCTGTCAGATTAATGCTTATCAAATCTAGTGTTTCGAACGGCAATTTATTTCGTCTAGCTCCGTTAACGAATTAATATTTAATTTCAACTCTTTTCATCTTCATCTACTTAAAGTTATCGGTCAGTAAGCCGACTGTCTTTTCACTTTAATGAAATTGTCTTTTCCCCATTGTATCAACAGGCGGACATTTTTTTTATTTGCCTGATTGAAACCACTTGAAAATCTAATTTTGAATTTTATTTAGATTACTCCTCCATTAACAATTACTTAACAAGTCGTCCGAATGTCATTTCCACGTGCGCTCTTTGTTGACATCGTTGAGGAAGAATTTGTAAATTTAAGCGCACGTGTTTAGTTTTCTGTGACCATTCGGAGACTATTATCATGTGTTCAGGTACTGATATCAAAATGCCAAAATATAGCACCAACCTAGTAAAAAGAATCGGATAATTGATATTTAACGTTAACAAATTACACATTTATGGAGACACGGTAGTCTAGTGGTAGGACGCCGGGGTCGTGGGTTAGAGTCAAGATCACGGCACTGTGCTTTATCTTTGAACAAGATACTCCGCTGTAAAATGAGTATGTGGTTGGACAGTGCTAGAAGTGTAGAATGCTAGCTGTGAGCGCCGAAATAGCAGCACCGGCTGTATGTTCCCCAGGGAGTTGAGAAAGGTAAAGTGGCTGGTTGCAAAGGCCCTATAACCAAGATAATAATTTGTGAACCGCTATGAGACGACCTCCAAACTGGGTTGTGATAAAGTGGTATTTAAGAACCTCGAATTGTTTATTATTATTATTATTAATATTTATTTTTCATCAAATTATTATTACACAGATACAGATGACTGTTTTGATCACTAATTTTACATTACATTACTTAACATTATATATCAATAAATCGACTGCCCTTTCGACTTCAGTTTTGCAACTGGTCAGCCAATCGATCTTTATGTCATGGTGACTGCAACTAAAGGATCAGATGAAACCCCCAGATCTGCAGGGGGATCGACGTTAGTCGCCTCATACGATGCCGAGCACATTCAAGAGATCAATTCTTTTTCGGGCCTGCATCAACCGTGAACTCATGAAGCCCTTGTTTTCACCTTAACACTGTCAACTGTAATCCATAAAGTTCACATAAAGAAGTGGACAAACATACTTTCAAAACAGCCATACCGACGAACCATCCCCCCGGGGCCCCCATCGTCCCCACAGGATTTATAGGCACAAACTCTGGTATATTTGCATGTTTTGTTTTTATTTTCGTACAAGACAGTACTACACCTATGTCATATAACACTTATAAAGTTGATTAGCGATAAAACGGCAACATGATGAATAACAAATAAGGGTTAAAAGTCAGCATTCATATGAGAAACAGGTCATCTAACTAGTATGTACATCTATGATAAACAGAATGTTTAACTATTTACAATGATAATAAGGAGCATATCTAACTATATGTTATGTACAGTGGTATATTGTAAATCTGAAAAACAAGAATAATACTTAACAATACACAACTCACATAAAAAGCTGACACAAACAAAAGCTTACTACCCATGGACTTTCATTTCCTGTTTCTTGTTGGGTTACAGGTAAACAGAAATGTTTGTAACATCCCTAATGCTAAAAACACTGGGAAACGCACAGCAATACATAGGTATGAAGGTTTCGAAACAATGATATTTAAATAGTTGCAAATCTGGCATATATTTCAGAAACATAGGGACCAGGCACATCATAACTGATATTAAGATCGTAGGAAAACCTATTTACTGTAGAGAAAATATAACATTCCTTCAATCATGATCTTGTTTGTATGTCTGGGACCTGTGTTTCAATGGATAACTGCAATTGTATAAATATTAACACAAATTATATTTGACGGTGAGAACATTGAAATGACAAGCTTGGATTACAAGCCACACTGGCATCCAAGTAGAGAACATACTGTACTGGACACAATAACAAAATAGCAGCACTTCTTTGCACTAAAATATGATTATCACAAGAGTATTGTTGCTGCAAAAACATTTCAATCTAAAACTGTCTTACTTATACAGTGTACATCAACTTACAAGAGGCCCAGGGACATTTAAATCTAAAACTGTGTTACTTATACAGTGTACACCAACTTACACCAGGCCCAGGGACATTTAAATCTAAAACTGTGTCTTACTTATACAGTGTACACCAACTTACAAGAGGCCCAGGGACATTTAAATCTAAAACTGTGTTACTTATACAGTGTACAGCAACTTACACCAGGCCCAGGGACATTTAAATCAAAAACTGTGTTACTTATACAGTGTACACCAACTTACACCAGGCCCAGGGACATTTAAATCAAAAACTGTGTTACTTATACAGTGTACACCAACTTACACCAGGCCCAGGGACATTTAAATCAAAAACTGTGTTACTTATACAGTGTACACCAACTTACACCAGGCCCAGGGACATTTAAATCAAAAACTGTGTTACTTATACAGTGTACACCAACTTACACCAGGCCCAGGGACATTTAAATCAAAAACTGTGTTACTTATACAGTGTACACCAACTTACACCAGGCCCAGGGACATTTAAATCAAAAACTGTGTTACTTATACAGTGTACACCAACTTACACCAGGCCCAGGGACATTTAAATCAAAAACTGTGTTACTTATACAGTGTACACCAACTTACAAGAGGCCCAGGGGCCCGAATAGCTTACAAGCCCTTATCTTATTTTAAGTTAAATATCGGCCTAATACATGTGTAAAAAGTGCAAAACATGGAAGCAGCAAAAGACTAAAATTTTGTATTGAAAGTTTTTATCTAAATTCCAAATATAAGGCCTCAAATTCTATGTTTGTATGTTAGTCTCCCATGCTGTGCCCTCTGTTGGCCTGGTTCCACGATATTTAATTAGGTTAAAATATTTTCATCTGATCTCAAAAAGTAGTCTTTCAAACAGCACAGCTACATCTGTGTAATAAAACGATGAGTTCCTATCCCCAGGTATCCTTTATCCCAAGGCTAATATCCAGTCACTGGTACTGATGTAATCTTTTCAACATTCACCCTCACTTTCCCTATTTGGCCCTGCCTGAACTTGCTCTCTGCCGTGTCCCATAAAAACCATATGGTAAATGAATTGGAAAAATTGGCAAAATCAATATTGTCATGTAAATAAGCAACTGTGTACGCTGATTTATGTAGAGAATAAAGGGAAAGGTCATTGTTTTATTTTACAAGATTTTGCTAACTGCACATGCACTGAATATGAAATAGGCTGAAATGACTGATAACACTGTAAATAGCAAGCTACATATAGGTAGGTTAGGATACTAGCATGATCAATTATATCAATCCTGTCAAATGATTTCATGATTATAACAGAATCCACAAAACCATATGTAGGTAAGTAAATCGAAAGTCTATATATACACATACAATCAATAATACAAAATATATTGGGTTTAGATGATAATGTTGGAAGAATAAATGTATGTTAAGACCATAAAAATTATTCTCAGGTAAATGTCAAATTTGCCAAAAGAGTGAAGCTTAGTTAAATGTGAAAATTTCTCTATTTTTGTAAAACAAAAATCAAAACAAACAGAACACCCTTAGCCAGAATGAACGATGCATTGTTTTCTTAATAGTTCCACTGCTGTAAATAGTTTAAACAGTATAGGAGTCCTCCAAGACAAGGATCAAGAGGATCTCCATACTTATTACTGGGTTAACAAGGTGTCAATAGTGCACACTACTAGTACAGCATTCCATGGGCTTTGTACGCTTTAATCTATCAGAATTATTTGACTTTCCTCAATACTCTGCTTGCTCATAAAATCATGTCATTGTTGAACTCAAGTGCAACTCTAACACTACTCATTCTAGTACATAAAATTTGATGTGCAGCATATTGATAAAGGGAGATAACCAGGTTATTTCTCAGTGTGCTCCCGATTTCTCATATAAAATTAGCTTATACTTAAGTTTTCTAAATGTAATGTTTTGCCTTGATTTTTATTATATAATTTGTATAATCTTCTTTATAATTTTATTAAGACATTTTTTTCTTTACAATTATGTAGAATTTTTTACAAATAAAATGTGAAATAAAATATTTTCATAAATCAAAACAAAAAAGTTTTAAAACCTTCCATTATTGCTCAGACTTCAGTATTCATTGAAAGTAAAAGCCATGAGAAATCGGAAGAAATAGAAATGATTTTGAAATTAAGAAAACTACTTTTCAAATATATTAACTGAACATTTCATGATGCCAAAAATTAACTTTTTAAAAATGAATGAATAACCACAAGTTCAAGTAAATGGTGTGGTTAGTCACTCGAAATCTAACTCAAAATAACATAAACAAAACTTTAAGGTATTTTGAAAAATATTCTAAATCTATAATTAACATAAGTTCACAATGATGATTTTAAGTCAAAGAAACACTAGTTTCTTGAAGAAATTTTGAAAAGTATTGTTTAAAACTACTCCATGAATTGTTTGAATATTAAATTCATTAAATTAACAAATCAAGAATTGCACACTATAGACATGGACGGACAAAGACATCTACATCGTAACACTGATCAGATTTTTTTGTTCATTAGGAACAAAATTAATATAATAAAGGAACAAACATACATATGGCAACAAAGGTGGTTTATTCTATAACTAATCTTCATTAAATTATTATCATTTTAAAAACAGGACATTCACACTGTGTCTGATGTGGATATTATATTTGCTTACATTCAACGATGTAAATATAATCATCACTCGATTGTAAAAGTTCAAAATTGACTTCAAATGGTATTTATTATTAATTATGAATATTTTATACTTCAGTAAAAGTGATGGAAATCTCTCAGGTTGTATTTGTAATGCCAAAAACTTTTATTCTACTCTCCCTAAAAAAAGTCAATTGTCATATAATTTACTCCAATGAAACTCCAAAAAATATGATAAGAACAGTTGTCTCCCTTACACTAATGAATTACCATTGTGGGCACGTGATTGGAATTTACAAATATTTATATTGTATTCAGTCTTAACATTTATTTCAGTATTTCCATTTATTGTTACAAAATATTCAAATTTGTAAATACGTTTTTTTTATGAATTCAATTTTCCAGTAAAACGTCTAAAAAGCAATCTTATACACGAACAGGATTTTGAAAAACTTCTAAACATATGATTTTAAGAAAACATTTTGATTTTTATATACATGTACAGATTGAGATTGTAATGTTAATTTATTAAACAAATCCTGGCATTAGATGTGTTAACTACTTGATATGCTTCTCACTCCTTGAACAAATGGGTTTGGTCGAGCTTGCATTTTCATGTTTCACTTTTAACAGTCTATTCAATCAACCAGGTCCATATCCACAGTCAGAGCAGTTTTAAAAAAAAATCAATTTCCTACATGTAAAGAAGCCAAATGTCAGAAGTTTGCTTAGCACAGTTTTGCATTTATGAAATAATTATCACTTTAAACATGCATGTCCTTTACATGACATTCAGCTAAAAGATTTTATTACTTTCTAAAAACTTGATCCAGTTGATTGAAATATCAACTAATGTAACGTTATGAAACCTGTCCTGTGAGAGACATTTTAACAGGTTTAAAACAAATAATCATAATTTCAGAATGATAAATTTGTTTACAAAGCAATAATCACTAATAGATCCACATAAATCGTATCCTAATGAGTTTTCCATCCTTGGAATCCAGGGGTTCTACGCACTTATGTTCACTGCATGAGTTCTGCACCACTGGGATATACCATGGAAAAATTGAAGGCACACAGGTAGCTATTTGATTGATTTCAGGTAAAAACAAAACCCTGACCAATCTCTAGGCTGATATCTCCTTTGAAGAATACAGACTTAACATCCAACTTCAAAGCTGGTTAATTTGACTGTTATGCTGCCATGCTGCACCATTCTTTTGATGTACATCAAAGGATATAACTAATCTTCTTGTATCCTCCACCAGGTGGTGCTTACAGAGCCTTTGATTTCATCATGACATATTTCAGGGGTGCAGAGAACGTAAGCAAGAGTAACTCCTGGAATTTCAAGGATGAAAGATTTCTACTATGGTTACTTATAAAACTTCAAAACATTCAAAATAATGTAATCTGACATACCATTATCACTGTAAATAATGTATTCTGATCACCATTATCACTGTAAATCAGATTATTTTCTGAATCATTAACAACACTGCTGTATTGGTGAATTTATCAAAAATGCCTTTAAAAAAGCATTAAAAACTGTAAAGCTAATATGAAACAGAAAGAGTTGGCGAACAAACATTGATAATTATAACTCACACATGTTTGGTATCATTTACAAATTGATTTCAATGCTGTATGATATAAGAATGACTTTATAAGATTCAATATAATTTTTTTAACAAGGTTCCGTTTCCTTTTTACAGCGATATACATAACATAACTTTGATGAAATCAATTCTCAATTTAAATACATAGACATATCATTATTTAATAGAAGCTGTAGCACAGCTGTCATACAGAATATACCAAGACGTATACTCAGCCTCACTATACCCTGTAACACAGCTGTCATACAGAATATACTAAGACGTATACTCTGCCTCATCATACACTGTAACAATTCATTAATATGGACCTAGGATATCATCACATTCTAGCCTCACTATACACTGTAACACATCTGTCATACAGAATAAACCAAGACGTCTACTCAGCCTCACTATACACTGTAACACAGCTGGCATACAGAATAAACCAAGACGTATTCTCAGCCTCATCATACACTGTACCACAGCTGTCATACAGAATATGCCAAGACGTATACTCAGCCTCACTATACCCTGTAACACAGCTGTCATACAGAATAAACCAAGACGTATAGTCAGCCTCACTATACACTGTAACACAGATGTCATACAGAATAAACCAAGACGTATTCTCAGCCTCATCATACACTGTAACAATTCATTAATATGGACCTAGGATATCATCACATTCTAGCCTCACTATACACTGTAACACAGATGTCATACAGAATAAACCAAGACGTATAGTCAGCCTCACTATACACTGTAACACATCTGTCATACAGAATAAACCAAGACGTCTACTCAGCCTCACTATACACTGTAACACAGCTGGCATACAGAATAAACCAAGACGTATACTCAGCCTCCCTACACACTGTAACACAGCTGTCATACAGAATATACTAAGACGTATACTCTGCCTCATCATACACTGTAACAATACATTAATATGTACCTAGGATATCATCACATTCTAGCCTCACTATACACTGTAACACAGCTGGCATACAGAATAAACCAAGACGTATACTCAGCCTCATCATACACTGTAACAATACATTAATATGGACCTAGGATATCATCACATTCTATAGCCTTCTACCAGCCATCATAAATACTGTTTATATCACACAGATCATCAACACTTAATTTCAGGAGAGCTTGACAAAGAACACAAGAGTGGCTGTATTTCCAGATCATCAGGATTTGTCCGAGTATCCCTTCCCATACATAGCTACAATACTTCCTGATGGGACGAGACTTGTAGTGCTATACAGAGTTGCAGAAGACTTTTTTTTAACTATGGCATCATTCTCTTACATCTACTGTATATACTTCACTACCTTCTTAACAGAACAATGTCTTAATATTTATATACTGACTGAACAATTTGTAAAAATGAAATACAAATTTTCTAGAAATATAACTGACAAGTTTAAGCTCTATGATGAGGAGTGGTCTGATCTGTTGCCTCTAAGAACTCAAATGCTCTATTAAAAAATTCCCCTGTCCCGTTAGACCTCTTCAGTCAATGCCAAGCTGCTTATGGTTCCCCCATAACCAGGTGTGATAGTCATTCAGCTTGTGGTCCTTTGGATCAACCTAGAGAACAAAACATATTCTATACTTATATCAGAAAGTTACAGGGCCAGTGCTTCTCCTTTCTCTGTTTTGTTAACATTATTGATTTTTATTTTATGTAAACATTTGAAAATTATTTACATTTTTTATTATTATTTTATGTACATATTTGAAAATTATTTACATTATTTCTATTATTTCATGTACACATTAGAAAATTGTTTACATTATTTGTATTAATGAGAAAACCTTTGATTATCATCAGGCCTTGTTTGAAGATCTACTCTTTGATCATGATTGTCCAAAGTTTAACCATTTTTAATTGTGACCAGTAAGTCATCATATTCTTTCACCTACCCTTTTCCATTCATTGACACAAAACATCCGATAGGAATCGTTTCCATATTTCCCAATTCCATGAAGTTCCTCGGGATAGCTCCAGTCCTTAGTGAGATACTCATCTGCAATATATTAAAATGATCACATCAAGTACAGTATCGAGTTGTCTACCTGTTTGACCGGACCAAACAAAACTTGATGTTTCCTTTTCAGCGATAAGGAACTTTAGTTAAAGAAGTCTGACAAGTATATGTCAAACTGTACATCCATTAAAAAGGTGTTGTGTACAGTAATATAACTGGATATGAAGCAAAGTTTTAAGTATGACAGTATAGGTGTTAGGTTTTAAGTATGACAGTATAGGTGTTCGGTTTTAAGTATGACAGTATAGGTGTTTGGTTTTAAGTATGACAGTATAGGTGTTCGGTTTTAAGTGTGACAGTATAGGTGTTCAGTTTTAAGTATGACAGTATAGGTGTTAGTTTTTAAGTATGACAGTATAGGTGTTAGTTTTTAAGTATGACAGTATAGGTGTTTAGTTTTAAGTATGACAGTATAGGTGTACGGTTTTAAGTATGACAGTATAGGTGGTAGGTTTTAAGTATGACAGTATAGGGGTTCGGTTTTAAGTGTGACAGTATAGGTGTTCAGTTTTAGGTATGACGTTATAGGTGTTCAGTTTTAAGTGTGACAGTATAGGGGTTCAGTTTTAAGTACGACAGTATAAGTGTTCCAACTTAACACTACACCCCTGGACAATCACCACCAAATCACTGTAGGTCTATGTCAATCTTTAACTTCACAGACAAAATTGTTTATGAAGTTTTTCTATTCAATTACCTTCCTTTATTTTTTACACATATTTTCATAATATCATGTTATAAAGAACTGAATATATAAGTTTAAATTTTTGGGTCAAAGTCTTGGTAGAGGTCTGGTCTATGAAAATTTCAGTAGGTCTATAGGCAATCAATATTAGATAGACCATTAGGTAGGTCTATAGGCAATCAATATTAGATAGACACTTAGGTAGGTCTATAGGCAATCAATATTAGATAGACCATTAGGTAGATCTATAGGCAATCAAGATTAGATAGACCATTAGGTAGGTCTATAGGCAATCAATATTAGATAGACCATTAGGTAGGTCTATAGGCAATCAATATTAGATAGACCATTAGGTAGGTCTATCTTGTATTGACTGTGTAAAGTGTACTGTGTGTTATTTACCAGAAAACCTGATGATGATCTTTGCTCGTTTTTCATGCAGACCAAGTGGAGTAAGAAGTTTGGCAATGGCTGCAGCGTCTGCTTTCCTCGCTGCGTCTGGGTTCGGCCATTTGTTGAAAAATTTCCATAGAAGAGGGATAGCTGCCTTGCCTAAAACCCCAACAAACCAATACACAATATTACATATCATCAGCACACAGTCATCCTTATATTACACAGCACACAAAGCCGTCTTAACAGAACATCTGGACACAGTTGTGTTTCTGCTTTAATGCTACCTTAAACCAGAGATGGTGTCAAAGCCACCAAATGCTCGCCTGTTTAAAATTTAATCCTATTTCAAAATTTGTTTGTAAAAAAGTTCAAAAGAGGTCAAAAGTCCAAAAAGATTTGAAATTATTCTTTAATTTTAACTTCACTTCTTATAGTTTACCCCACAGGAACCTCCATGCAAAATATCAACATCCTAGTACACATAGTTAATGAATGACAAGCTTCTAAATAACTTGCAGGTAAAACTTTAACGTTGATGTGCTTCAAAAAAGTTAAGTACAAAACAGGTAAAAAAAAAAATCAAAATTTGAAATTATTTTTAAATTTTAACTTCACTACATCAATAGTATACCCCACAGGAACCTCCATGCCAAATATCAGCATCCTACTACACAATTTTAATGAATGACAAGCTTCTAAATAACTTGCAGGTAAAACTTTAACATTTTCTCTCTGTTCTTCGAACAGGCAAGCTAAAAATCAAATACATGTGCCTGAATACATTTTAAATCAAACTCATTTTCCTAGAAACATTCAAACTAACATTTTTAATACCAACGTTATTTTTTTAAAAATATGTTTTTTTTTTCTATTCTTGGAAAACAGTTCACACAAACTTTTTGTGACATGCTTTACCTGTGGTCCTATTCAGGAAAATGGTCCCTATGAGGAGCTTCCAGGGGTCGTGGTACAGACTTTCCTGTATCAGGCAGAAAGGAGACTTTGGAGGGACCCAAGTTGTATCCCTATGGAGTTCAGGGCGAGGAAGAAACTTCCCATGGGCAAAGTATTTACTCTCTGTCTCGGCTGACAACCGTCTTGTGGGTGTAAATTCTGCCTCTTCGGAGTCAGATGGGATATCTATGTAACAATCAAAAACAAGTATCTGATGTCTGTTTTAATAAACATTTTTTTGTGAACAATTACTAGTAAAACAATGTCGAACAAAACAACAAATTCATTAAATTTATTCACTACATGTATGGAACAAATGCCCAAATCAGATTTCAGTAAACTTGCATATATATAAGTACAGTGTATAGTAAAAAAGTAACCTTCAAACTATTATGAGCCAGCCTGAAATGCATCTACAGACCCAAGTTTGAAGGAAATCGGATGATATTCAGGATAAAGATTGCTCAGAAACTACAGTGTCACAGACAGACTCAAATTAACACAACACCCCCCTCACTAAAACTGAGGATGGAAATGGTCTACCTATGACCATCACAAACATAATAGCATAGGCTCATAAGGAACTAGTAATCTTCAGTAAAACACATCTATAACAAACCTCTGGGGATGTAAGAAATCAGTTTGTTACGGGCTGAAATAATGATAAAGGTTGATATTAAGGAGCAATTTTGCTGTCTGTAGACACACATAAAACATGTTAACAAACCAGATATAAGGATATATCCAGAATAAACAGGTTTGCTATCTTGCTTTCTCACTCAATTTTTGGGTTTATCTTTTAATGAAAATTGCAATGGACTGTTAGAGGCAGAGGAATTCTCTATCAATATTTAAAAAATATTTTGAGAACTAAATGTTTTGCCAAGTTGCTTTACTCTGTATTTCGAAGAATGTAACTGGCAGAAAATAGATAAACTTAAACATACAATTTTTTGCAGGATTGTAATTTTAGCATTCCAAACCTTACGCTAATTCATACTTGTGCTCATTGAAGGTTTTTTATCTAGTTTTCTATGTGAAAATTGAGCCAATTCATCAGATCTAATTCATTATACGCTAAAAGTTTTGTCCGCCAAAATAATCACTCATACAGTATCCTAAAATGGCCTCAATGATCACAGATTTACCTTCCACATGACTAATTTCTTCACTGGCAAGCTGAGGGGATGTAGCTGACAAGGACACACTCCGTGACCTTGACCTTTCAGGACTAGATAAAAGTGGTGAAAACTTGGGACCTTCCTCGTTACTGGCTCTCCTCTGATGCCGTGGCGATGCTGGAACATTCTTAATAAATGTAAATAAATCGTCCAAATTTTCAACAGCAGAAGCACAGAACTTCCCTTTGGTATCTCCTGATGCCACATTGGATTTGTTGTTAGTCTTTGAGGACATTTTTACAGGTGAATATTTTGCAGAAGTGATTTTTACAGGTGAGCTTTTGAAAGGTGAAGATTTAACAGGTGAACTCCTAATAGGTGGTTTGATAGGGGATGATTTTGAAGGACACAAACTTCTTTCTTCTACTTCATCAGAAATGTTCTCGGAAATTTCTGGAGTTGTATCAGCGTTAGTATTAGTATCAACTTTACTTTCATTGTCTTTTGTATCTATTTCATCTTGAATAGCATCATCGGCGGACACTGAAGGGTTAGCCTCAACATTATCTGATGTGGCGTACAAGTTCGTTCCCTCAGGATTTGTTAGACAGTATGTGTATGCAGGGGTCACGACCTGGGACATGTCTATTCCATCAGGATTGGCCGTAACAACACTAGCCATAACATAAACACCACTGACCAGTTCCCCTGCCATGACCCCACCACTGACCATATCAGCACTGACCAAACCAGGCGCTGTAGCACCACTGACCATACTGTCACTCAGGGCGATACCACCGGGAAGCTGGACACTGCTGGGTGCCACATTAATGACAGAACCCCCCAACACTGCTGTACCGTCTAAATCAGTACTGAGTTTCGCAGTCTTTGCCACAGAGGGAGACAAGGTTGACGACTGTCTTCGCGATGAGTTGCGTTGCACTTTTGGTTCATCAACACTATAGATGTCAGCACTGTATCTTTTACTGCGCATTCGCTGCCGTGAAGGTCGTCGTTCTGTTGCCACTTTAGCTGGATCGACTTTGACTGGTTCAGATGTCACTGGCACGATTTCTGACTCCTCGGCACTGCTGTCACACACATTGTTACTGTCCATACCAACATTTTGAAACAAGTCAAAGATATTATCACCATGGGATTTTGGCTTCTTCTTACTCACCTCTTTTTTGGTTAAATCTTTAGACATTGATTGAGTAACGTTTGAGTGCACCATCGTGTGTGGATTTAACCTTGGCGACAGTTGTGAGTTCATGTTCTCATCTGGGAACGAATCATTATACTCATCGTCCATTGTTGGAGAGTCTAATTTTTCATTGAACGTATCCAGTTTACTTATGTCATCACTATCCCCAATACGTAATTTCCCCCCATTCTCCGTCACAGAATCCTCCTCATTATCGTCCACCACTTTTGTTTTGGGACCACGTCCTCTCCCTTTCCCTTTCTTTTTCTGTTTCTTTGCAGGACCTTCCTCCTCTGCGTCACCTTTCCTTTTCACACCGGGACCAAATGCCATTTTTATTACCAGTTTCTGTGCCAGTGTTTTCTTGGGTGAAATGTTTTTACGTTTACCAGACTGTTGTGATGTTTTACTTAGCTGTATTTTTGTCTCTTCTTTCGGTGAAACATTTTTAGTCATAGATCGAGACCGTTTACGGCTGAGTTTTGGAGAAACCTTCACTTTTCCACTAGTTGTCTGTTTTATCTCTAGTTTGTCCGATTTCTGTGATTTACCAGTTTTTAATGTCTTTGTTTTACTGGCTTTGCTTGGGGGTTTTGACAATGCTTTTAGTGATTTTGTGGAGGATTTTGGTGTCATTTTTGTCTTTACTGGAGATCTTACACTGGGAGATTTCATGATTTCCCTTTTCTCTGCCTTGTTTTTCCTCTGGCCTTTCCTCGTGACACTACCCTGGTTGGTACTGTGGTGCTTTCCTCGTACCGTGAAGTCGAAAGCCTCCACATCCAGTTCCAACTGCTTCTCCGCCACATACGTAGCCAGCTCTGTTTTGGATCTCATCTTCTTTCCAGATGGGCTAAAAAATATCATATATTATTTTACTGATCAAACACACAAACATTTCATATGAATTTTGGAGCAATCAAGAATTTACTTCCTATTTAAGCAATATAACAGAATAAGGGATCATCTGATCTATTTTACTATGCTTATTAAATTTGTTTTTCAATTTATATCAATAAATCAAAGCAAAACCTGTTTTAAACTTGAAGGTCTGGCATAAATTATCATATGATGATATATTTTCAGTATTACAATTCAATAACGCTACTGATATTGTTCAATTACTCAATACTATTTTGTTTTAAACAACTGCATGTAAAAGCTAAAAGCTGAATTTTTGCATATTTCATACAAATCCTTATTCATATTTTTATCACAGGCTTATATTATCAACACAGACAGGGTTATGGTCAATAAAACTCAAAATCATATCAAACGAACAAAAAAGTAAAAGATAAATGTGAAGTTGAATATCTATTTGACTATGGAAACATATCTTTTGGAACAGACCAACGGTTTTCAGATAGCTTAAAATTGTAGAGACATTTGTTGTTTTTACGAATTTAAATAATATTCTTTTATATAAATTGAGGCTGGTCTTCAGGTTTCTATTAATAATGGGATATATGTATGAATGACCATGTCCCATCGTGGGGCAGGCACCTGGGTTATCTAGTGGTATTGCCACAATTGTATATATACCTGTAAAGGTACACGTCATATTTCCCAGCTGATTTGCCATTGAGTCGCTGCACCACACGCCGACTCCATCCCTCCGGTAGATTTTTGTCATGCAGCATTGGGGATATGTCGTAAGTGTGGTCTCCCCTAGTAAAATCAAACAAAACCAGTTTTATTATAGCATTCATCTCTAAAATATACCAAACTAATCTTTTAACTTTACAAAATATCCACACGTTGACTGGTTTACACTGAAGATTTTCATTCACAAACACCATAAATATAATTTCCCTTCACTCTGTAAATTGTTCTCAACACCACAAGAACAGCTTTGTTGTTTACTCGACGTCTACATGTTTCAACTGATATGTCCTGATGATGGCTGCATAGCAATTCAAACATGTAGATGTCGACTAAATAACAAAGCTGTTGTTGAGAATCCTTTTCTGTAGTTTCTATAGTAATGATTACTAGTGAATCCCCTGGGAATCCACCTGAGAACACTACCAATTTTTCTACATAAGGAGTGTTGGATCTCTCTTTTCTTTTCTTTATTATCTGTAAATTGTTGATATGTGGATATGAAAAGTAGATCATTATTATTGTAGCCTCCCTAAACATTTTTTTTTTATCTTAAATATACCTTAATTTTTTTAATGATAGCCCACTTCTTTCAGGAACACAAAGTTGACATAAATGATATTGGCATTTTTAAACTTGTTTCTCTAAATTTCAAAACATATCACTTTGCATAAAGTAGCATAATATATGATTGTGAAAGATTAAAAGGTACAGTGCTACGCTTTATATTGCTATATTTCTTTTAATAATCATTAAAGCAATAGTGCAAATATAACTAGTATTTTTAATGCTGCAAAATGATATCAAATACTTATTTATACAGAGGTGTTTCGGAACATATAAAGTGTGAAACAAAACAATTATTCTGTTTGACTTAGATACGGTGGCCAAGTGGTTAAAGCGTCTGACATTCTGCTACCACCGGCCCCCCACCACTGGGTCCAGGTTCGAGACCTACATGGGGCAGTTGCCAGGTACTGGCCGTAGGTCGGTGGTTTTTCTCTGGAAACTACGGCTTTCCTCCACCACCAAAACCTGACATGTCCTTAAATGACCATAGCTGTTAATAGGATGTAAAACACAAACAAACCAAAGACACGATTTAGAAAATTGTTCACTCCAACACAAACCTAACCTGTACAGGGGGTGGTTGAATGAACACAACATCACTCTAACACAAACCTGATCTGTACAGGGGGTGGTTGAATGAACACAACATCACTGGTTGTTGATTCCCTTGCGTCATCAACGTCAGCGTAAGCGTGGTCATCTATGTAAATATTCTGCTGTTCCAGATCACCAGCGGGTATGTCGTCCATGTATCCCACACTCTCACCAAGCAACGCCTCATCCGAGTTATCAAGGTCAACAGGTTTATTGTGCTCATCATCGTATCTGTCCAAGTAAATAGATAGCTCTTTTACCAGGCTATAGCTTTAGGAGCTAATTCCCCGTCATGCAGAACCATATAGGCAAACAACACTGATCCCAGACAGGCACCATATATATATATGGGACTTCCACACGAACATATTGCCGCATACATATTTTTGAGAGCTATTGTTGCGACAAACACAAGTATATAAAATAACAATAACATAGGGTAACAGTAAATAGTGATTGGATGGTGCAGTGGGTAGCGTACTTGCCTTTCACGAAGATATCCGGGATTCAATTCGATTGCACCATTAGTGATTGGACTACGACCCAATAAAATGAATATAAATAGTCTACTGAATGCTATTTGACCGACTCATAGTCATATTAGAAATGAAATATGAATTATGACATAAAAGGATTAACAATACATCTTGCATTACGGTTCGATATTCCTCAGGTACGACTGAGGAACACTGCAGCAAACATGGCGTCAATAAAATATCCTGTACACATTCCAACTGAGGAGAGAGATATCACAAAGCGATAAGTCTATCAATCATATAATAGTCCAGAACTAATAGCAAAGAGCAAGAACTGTCAACCTTATTATATCATGGACACAGTAACAGAACACATTTAGCCCCATAACACTGATCCAAGGCCTTAACAAATGTGTGGTTCCAGTTACCCAACTTACCCCAAAATATTTGATCAATTTTCAAGGAAGCACTGTTAAAGTTGAGTATACAGGGATGTGATCGGGGATTGGAAGAAAAAGAGGGATCAAAGTGAAAAGGGAGGAACAGGGCCTATATATGGAGCTAAAACCTTTTTTTTACACCCTTAACAACTAACTTTGTTTCTATTTAAAATTTGTAACAGATTCTTTACAATATGTAACCTGTATGAACAAACTCATCCATTACTTAACAACTTACCTGTATGTACAAACTCATATGTTCCAAGACAACTTACCTGTACAAACAAACTCATACGCTCCAAGACTACTTACCTGTACAAACAAACTCATACGCTCCAGGACTACTTTCCTGTACAAACAAACTCATACGCTCCAGGACTACTTTCCTGTACAAACAAACTCATACGCTCCAGGACTACTTACCTTTACAAACAAACTCATATGTTCCAAGACAACTTACCTGTACAAACAAACTCATACGTTCCAGGACTACTTACCTGTATGCAGCAGAGTCCTCAAAGTTGGGGTCTGCATAGTCAAACCCTTCCTCCTCCTGCCCCTCCTCCATTCTCACACCCTCCTCGTCCGACATCCCCGTCTCGTCTTCCTCATCTTCCTGGGCATCTGGGTCATGGATGACTGTAGGTAAAACGCTGTAAAGGAAATCATTCAGCCATGACAAAGTCATATCACCATTATATGTTGTTTGTGACAACAAAAATTACATCTTGCCTTCTTAAAACTTTGAGTGATGTTTGTTATTTTCTGTTTCGTTGCTTAATCCGAGTTTGGTTTTGATCTATTGAGTGTTTTCTAATTCATACTAACTTAATGAATGCAAACCCCTAAATAATGCTTCTGACCAAATGATCCTCTGTGTCAAGAAACTATAAACTTTCCAGATACAGACTCTCAACATTTATTTCAATATTCTGTTATGGTGTAGAATTCTGAAAGTATGTGAGAAGTTAATGGTAGGTCTAATAAATACTTAAAAGAAGTAAATATCAAAACACATAATGTGATTTCTCTGTATAAAAATTTGTAATAAACATTTCTTTTAGTCCAATTAGTATAAAGGATTTGGTACAAGTTATTACAAGTTCTGAAGCCATATCTTATCACAATAATGGTAAATGAATTCATAGACAAGACAATAAAAAATTATTGAGATGGAAGGAAGTCAAATCAATTTCATGTTATTTTGCATCAATCCTATGCAATAAAGTTTGCATGTTTCTATAGTCTATACTGATCACAATAAACTTCGAAAGCCAGGTTTCCACCACTTAACACATAGTAGTAACCCGTAACTTATTTGTATATCTATATTGTTGAAGATATATAGCAATTTATAAAGTATTTCAGCACCATGAACCGATTAGCTCTCCTTGGTTTCCCCCCAGAGAAGGTGGATTTAACTTTTAAGGGAAAGTCTACTTCCCAAACCATTGCCTGTCACTAGTAGCCAGATAAGTGATAATGATGTAGAAGTTAAACAAAATCGATAGAAACACAATGAATTTGATAAAATATCCAACTGAAGTTTGAAATATTGGAATTGCTATCTCGCTGATTGAGTGTGAAGTTGAATAAATGCTCTTCGCGAACGACTCTTGAGACTCCAGGCTTTCAGTAGACTCTTGAGACTACGAGCTTTCAGTAGACTCTTTGAGACTATCAAAATGAACTTTCATTCTTGGGTTTTAAAGGATAGGTCTGTTTGAAATGTTTGGACTCATCAGATTTAAGGGAAGAGTGATTTGACTTCTAAAATGGCTAAATGTCAAGGTCAGCTGAAAGCCCTGTGACTTGTTCCTGCAATCTTTTGCAGCTAGCTAGTAATCTTGCACATAGATATCTGAATTTTTAAAAATTATAAGTACCTTTGGTAGGGAAGATAATTTGGGGCCAATTGATTACTATAAATCACCTGTGATTTGGGTCAGAGATTTTACAAGCCAAACTAATATATATACTAAAATGTTTGAAGCTTAAAATAGGCACTTGAGTTTTTGCATATATTAGCACAGAAATTCCTGGATAAATCTCCAACAATGTATGAGGTTTAAGCCAAGAAGATATCTGAATATACACAAGATTAAGTGAAATGTAAAGGAAACATGGGAGTAGGTTTCAACAGAGATATTTTAATGAGTGGCTGTGAACTTTGCCTGCCAATAAATTTGTAGTAAGATGAGGAATAGAGATAAAGATAGTGTCGTCGCTGGGGCTCGAATCTGCGACCCTTGGCTCTCCAGGAAAATTCCCTACAGCTGACGCTTGCAAGGCAACCTAATCAATGCACAACTTTTACAAATTAATCTTAGATACAAGTAGATTATGAAATATCTAGGGTTGGCAGTAAAATCAAGGATAGTTCGGGATACCTGAAACACACATATTTTTATGTGTAAGAGGCAGATTGTTGACTGTTTTTTTATGGGATATTATTATATTATTATGCTGACCGTAATGAGGCATCCCCTAAAAGAATCTTGCTGTGTTAAACCTTTAACATTGGTTTACTACAGTAGGTTTATCTAGTATCATCAATAAATATTGGTATCTAAATTCAAATGTATCGTTACATAGGAAACGCAAGTATAGTCTTAACTGTGGATTGATACCTAAAAAGTAAAATATGGTGGCCAGACATGTACACCAGACATGTTTGGTATGAGCTACAGATGGGACCACACACAGAAACCCCTAATGACTGACCATGTTATCTGTCAAGTACTCCATTGACTTTCAAGTAAAATGAAGTCTGCAGAGTAACAAACAAAGTGACATTTAAGTAACAAGTGCAAGAATAACCTCATACACACTACACGTCAACAGTTGTTTCCTGTGTGAGAAGTTATCTGTAACGATCTAACGTTAACAATATGTCGGGGACATGATCTGGTATAAACACTAACGTTACATCATGCAGGTCATATGGCACATCGATATAAATATCATACCGTATATGTAAGAGATTTAATGGAGATATAAAACGGCTTGTTTCTTGCATTATTTACGCATTTTATTAATGTCCTAGTGTCATTATACCCAAAATCGAGCTCGCAGTTAACATTTTCATCTTGCTACAACGATAGCCAATCACGTCATTCGGTATATTTAGATCCACCAGCAGCAAATCGTATGCATGTGTCTCAAACTGCAGTCACCAATGTAAGGTCAGGGCAGAAAAAAGAAGTTTGCTATTTGATTTCCTTGACATTACCACCTTGATCTACGATTTAGTGGGTATGACACTGTAAAATGATTAGTAATGTACATCAGGCTTGCCATCCATGCATCAATAGACCACAGGAACACACTTACAACGGCTGCATTGCAACGTACAACGCATGTGGCCCGCCGTCACCCTCCATGTTTGTTGTTCATAATAGATGGTTACTACAAAATACGGATGACATGAAAACGAAACGAAACGTTTATAATTAAAGTTGTCGGGAAATTCTACCAAAAAACATATTCATCTTTAATCTCTAAAAATGTCCCATTTACACTGTTATAACTGGTACCATAAGGGCTAATTATAGCGGTCAGAACACCTGGTAGTAAGACATAGTTAAGAAAATTCCAATGTATTTCTAGATATCTAACGTCTTTTTCCCCGGAAAATTATTAATTGAATTTAATCAATCACCCCCACACATCTACATAGTAATGACCACCTTCATCTATTTGAAGATCATGTCATGTGACAGTGGTTGCAAGGCCAAGAGAAGAAAAGATAAAAGATTGTGAAAGGGAATATTTATAAAGTATATGAGTTTGAATTGTTTTTTGTTTAGGGACAGTTTAAAGCAGTCAGAAGAGGTAATGGAGGTTATATCTGGAGGCAGGTTATTCCAGTCTACTATGGTACGAGGGAAAAAGGATTGTTGTCGTACCTGTGTTCTACATGGTTTGATATGAGTTCCGGTGTGCGTGTCTTGTGTGGCGGGATGGAGGTATGAATTGGTCTTTAGTTATGTTGACTTTGTCGTGTATAGTTTTGTGTAGTGTTGTCAGTCGCACGACTCTCCTTCTGTCTTCAAGTGATTGCCAGTTAAGGTGTTGAAGCATGTCACCAACACTGGAGGTGTTTCTAAATTTGTTGGTGACTAATCTGGCTGCTCTACGCTGCACCATTTCTATTTTGTTTATGTCTGTTTTAGTATAAGGGTATATTCTACGGTTGGTCTGACAAGTGTTTTATATGCCTGCTCCTTGACAGATGTAGATTTTATCTTTAGATTTCGTCTGAGAAAGCCTAAGGTGGAGTTGGCTTTCCCACAGATGTTGTTTATGTGACATTCCCACTTCAGATTTGACTGTATAGTGACACCTAAATATTTTGCTTTGTCTACGTGTTTTAGTTCCTTTCCGTGCAGCATATGTATTTGTGATGTTGTGGTTGTTTGTTGTTGGTGATGGAAAGGACGTTACATTTGTCAGGATGGAAGGACATATCCCATGCTTTCTCCCATAGAGCTAGTTTGTCTAAATCTTGTTGCAATAGCTGGGCATCAGATGGTGATTTCATAGTAAGATAGACAATGGTGTCATCTGCAAATAGACGTACAGTGGAATGGAGGCCAACAGGAATGTCGTTTATATAGAATAGAAAGAGGGATGGACCAATAACCGAGTCTTGAGGGGCACCTGACTTGACATTGGCAATGCTAGATTTTCCCCCTTCAACGATGACAGCCTGCTTCCTATTATCCAGGAAGTTTTCTATCTCATTTACACCATAATGACGAAGCTTATGACAAAGAAGCGAATGACTAACCTTGTCAAAGGCTTTGGAAAAATCCATAATTAAGACGTCGGTTTGTTTTCCCTTGTCAATGTTGGAGCTGACATCATCAACAAATTCAATGAGCTGACTCTCACATGATACTGACCTTCGAAACCGTGTTGGAGTGGGTAAAGGATGTTATGTTTGTCAGCGTGGTTCATGATGTTACTGACCACTATGTGTTCTAGAAGTTTGCTAAAAATACACGTGAGAGAGATTGGCGTGTAATTTTCTGGATTTAAATTAGAGCCCTTTTATTGACAGGAGAGACAAGCGCTAACTTCCAATCAGAGGGAACTGTGCCAGAATGAAGAGATTCGTTAAAGATGATAGAGAGGACAGGGGCAATTTCAGAAGAGAGTTCTTTCAAGATCTTGGGCTTCAACTCGATCCACAGATCCACGTAACTATAGCTGCTGATTGTTTTGGAAGAATGGACAGAATTTGAAATCATATTTTTTGTTAGTCGGCTGTTTATGTTGTATACATAGGTAATTCCAGAAATTATTAGCAAATAACGTCCCTCTGTGTTTTTGCCTGTTACGTCAGTTTTATCACATTGTTAAAATACTGATGTTACTCTACCACATTTTTGTAGTTTAACTAGCGCCTCGTTTCTTGTTATTTTTCAAACTATTAAATTTTATCTCTCCCATAAAAAAATTAAGGTATCTTTAATGTTTAAACTAAGAGATTGCATGCTTTCTTTTGCATCTTCGATAAATTAAGACACCATTATAAATATATTGTGTCCCTTATGTTGGGTGTCACTACATTGAAACACATCTTGGAGTTGTTTCCCTTGAAACGGTCATTCGTCACACTGCAGAAAAGTTTAGTTTCCGCCATTTTTCAAAATCAAAAAAAGATGGAGGGTGCTGCATCAAAGCAGGAGGAAACCCGTTATTTTAGTTATGTGTAGACCTATACTTTTTCATTGTCATAACCTTACAATATGTATTGTTGAAATGTTAATTTCAACTTAAAATTCATATGACTGTTGTAAACTATAGAATATAATGCATTAAGTTCATTGCAATGGATATTACCATTTGTTTACGTGTGCTGGAGACAGGACTTAGATGACCATAGCTGTTGATAGGACGTTAAGCAATACTAAACCAAACCAAACCAAACCCGAGTAGATAATCTTTGTACATTTAAAGTGGTTTAGAAACTTTATCTGAGAGAAAACCAAGACGGAAATTAGATCTACAACTTATTTTACAAAATTCATAATATTCTCGCACCGAACTATCTCGTCTCTCTACTAGGGGTCGGAGGGAATAACTCGGACGGGACCAAAACTCGAGGTATTATATTAGTGGTGTGTATGATCTTCGCACCAGTCTTAGCGCCAGGTATGATTGCACATTTCAAAGTCATAGTCATGCGCACAATTCGCATTTAAAACGGAAGTAGAGGTAACTGAATGATTTTCGCCCTTGCCTTTGACCTTTCTGTAAGTAAATTAATAATTATAGAGCCTATATCTAATATATGTTTTACTACACAGAGGCAAAAATGGCTTTAATGTGGAGGGGGTTAAGTACGCATGCGATACTTAACTTTGGTTAATCCACAAGGATGTGTTACAAATGTCTGAAATACACATGTGCTATAATAGCATATGTGTAGTTCAGACATTTGTAACGAACCCCTGTGATTAATCCCAGTTGGTAGGGATTGGTGCTTTAAATGCCTCTATTCCTTTGGCCCCACGGACCACAGGAGCAACGGTTATTATTACTATGTATGGTTAACAATGAGATTAGTTGCAAATGCCTGAAATAACCATACATTGTATGCTGCTAGCTATATATACTGATATATATACCAATATCAGTATAGCATATGTGTATTTTAAACATTTGTAACGAACCCCTGCGGTTAATCCCAGTTGGTAGGGATTGGTGCTTTAAATGCCTCTATTCCTTGCAGCCCACCACAGGGGCACAGTTGTTATTATGTATGGTAAACAAGGAGGACTCAGGTATAAATTGATAAATTGAACCGTGCCCCTTTGCCCCGACTGTGTTGTGCAGGTGGTCCAATGTTCGTGTAACATGAAAGAGAATAGTGTGCTTCCACCGGGGATCGAACCCTAGATCTCCAGGTTCCTAGTCAGACGCTCTACCACTGAGCTAAAGGGAAATTCCCTCTAGCTCGAAGCTAGAAGGCGACCTTAATCCTATGTACAATTGAACCCTGCCCTACGTGCATCAATATATCGGAATTAGGGATAATACCCTGTATTGACAGTCGGTTCATAAGGCTTTTGATTGAAAAGTTGTTAAGGTTAAACAAGCCCCATAAGATAGTGTAGTCGCTCTAAATTTCAACTGGCTGATAAGTCACATGCAAAGATCTAGATCTCAATAAAAAATCGGAACTTACATATAGTGAACGTTCGTGTATATTGGCCATTCAGAAAATACATATCTAGGTTAACGCAGTCGAAACTGAAGCATTAAGACCGATGACTCCATTAAAATAGTTGGCAGATTTCATTTACTTTCTATGCTAAATTTCAAACAGTTGACAGTCATGCTGGTGTTTTGATACGTTTAGGGTAAGTGCAGTATTTTTGCTTCTCAACTGATGAAGCCTGGGCAAAATGCTTATTGTATATTTTTGAGAAGGGCAGAAACTCAATTGGCATGTCTCAACTTTTTTTATTTCTATCGACAATCTCTTTCAGTTATCATTTTTTCGTAATATGTGCTTTTTTACTATCAATCTAGCTAGGTCATTCTGCTATGACAGTTCATTATAAGATCGGTAGTTGCTAGCCTATGGAGCACCAGAGGTTTATGGGTACTACAAGATTAGTACCAAAGATATATGGATACTGCAAAACTAGCACAAGAAGTATATGGTACTACAATTTAGCACAAGAGGTATATGGGTACTACAAAACTAGCATCACAGGTATATCGGTACTTCCAGACTAGCACCAGAGGTACATGTGTACTTAAACTCTTGCACCAGATGTATATGGGTATAACAAGTCTAGCACCAGAGGTATATGGGTACCGCAAGGCTAGTGCCAGAGGTATATGGGTACTACTAGACTAGCACCAGAGGTATATGGGTACCGCAAGGCTGGTGCCAGAGGTATATGGGTACTGCAAGACTAGCACCAGAGGTATATGGGTACTACAAGACTAGCACCAGAGGAATATGGGTACCGCAAGGCTGGTGCCAGAGTTATATGGGTACTGCAAGACTAGCACCAGAGGTATATGGGTACTGCAAGACTAGCACCAGATGTATATGGGTACTAAAAGACTAACACCATAGTACAATTGATCTACAAAACTAGCACCAGAGACATATGGGTACAACAAGACCAGCACAAAAGGTTTATGGGTACTGCAGGACTAGCACATGAGGTATATGAGTTTTTTTTATCTAGCACAAGATGTATTATGGGTACTACCAGACTAGCACCACAGGTATATGGGAAAGTCTAGCGCCAAAGGTATATGGGTTCTACAAGACAAGCACCAAATGTATATGGGTTCTACAAAAAACTAGCACAAGAGGTACATATGTACTACAAAACTAGCACCAGAGGTATATGTGTACTAAAAGAC